CATCCATCCATCCATCCATCCATCCATCCATCCATCCATCCATCGTCTTTTGCTTGTTCCAAAGTTGGCTCTCGGGGGCAGCAGCTTGAGCAGGGAGGTCCAGACATCTCTTTCCACAGCCACCTCTTCCAGCTCTTCTGAGAGGACTCCAACGTGTTCCCAAGCCAAACAAGAGTCAAAATCTTTCCAGCGTGTCCTAGGTCTTCCCCAGTGTCTTCTCCCAGTCGTATGTCCCCGAAGGGACCATCCTTACCAGATGCCCAAACCACCTCAATTGGCTCCTGTCAATATCTTCCTACTCCAAGTCACTCCCAGATATCTGAACTTCTCACCCCATATCTAAGGGAGAGTCCAGCTACCATGCAGTGGAAACTCATTTCATCTGCTTGTATCCACAATCTTGTTCTTTTTGTTACTACCCAGAGTTTGTGGCCATGGGTGAAGGTAGGAATGTAAATCAACAGGCAAACAGAGCTTCTCCTTACAGCTCATCTCCATCTTTACTACAATGGACTAGTATAGAGTCTGCAGCACTGCAGACATTGCACCAATCCATCTGTCAATCTCATCCTCCATTCTTCTATTACTTGTGAACAAAACCCCAAGATAATTGAACTCCTTGAGGCAAAATCTCAACATTGACCTGAAGAAAGCAATCCACCCTTCTCTGACTGAGGACAATGGCCTTAGATTTGGAGGTGCTGATCCTCATCCCAGCTGCTTCACACTCAGCTGCAAACATCTCCAGTGAAAGCTGAAGATCATGGCACAATGATGCCAACAGGACCATGAGCTATGAGTAGACCCACACCAGCTCGGTGCTTCTCACCATGGGCAACATCAGAGTGGAATAAGGTCCAGTCCCTCTCAAGGAGATTGGTTCCAGAGCCCATGCTGTGTGCTGAGGTGAGCCCAATTAAATCTAGTTGGTATCTTTCAACCTCGTAAAAGCTCAGGCTCCTTCTCCACCAGAGAGGTTACTTTCCATGTTGCAAGAGACAGCTTTGGTAAGCCAGGGTCAGAGTGCCAATCAGTCAGATTGGTCAGTGGCCTTTGGCCACAGCTCATGGCATCATGCACCCAACTCGTATGGCCCCTCCTGCAGGTGGTGGGCTCACAAGAGGGCAAACACATATTGCTCATTTGGGCTAAGCCCAACTGGGCCCCATGGGTAGAGACCCAGTCACCCGGCACTCGCTAACAAGCCCCTCCCCAGGCCTGGCTCCAGGGTGGGGCCAGTGACCTACGCCCAGGCAAGGGACACTGAGCTCCTTGCTGTTTTCTGTCCATTTGAGTCTTTGGAATCACTCTTTGTCTGGCCTGTCACCTAGAACCTATCTGCCTTGGAAGACCCTACCAGGGGCAAATAAATTTCCCCTGACATTATAGCTCCTAGGATCATTCAAGCACACAAACTCTGCCATGGTTCAAGGATTCAAGGTAAAGATTCAACGAAGATTTTGTTACAGTTTTGCTTATTGTAGCTTTTAGGTACAAGTTGGTTGATTTTAGCTATTAATTATTAGGCAACTTATTTTAGTTTTTTGCTTTAGTTTAGCTAATTTTAGCTTTTAGTTAGTTTAGCTAATTTTAGAGTCCATCCATCATTTAGATTATTTTCAGCTTATTTTCAACACACCCTTGTTTGGCAGTTTTTTTATTAGTCATTTAGCTGATAACCACATGGCGGATTTATCTGTTTTGTGGTAATTTTGGGAAAAGTAGCAGTTTTTTTTTCTCTATTTACATGTCCACTTCTGAGGTTGGAGTTATTCAGCCCCAAGGAGTCAGAAAACTCAAACCAATTTCTGTCTTACTGCTTGTGTCAGAGTCTCTGTCGGTTTCTGTCTCGACAGATGCTCTCTTCCTCTTGCTGCCATCCTGTCCCACTCGGTTCTCATCTTCCTGCTCATCCAAGCTGCTCTCAGCCTCGGTCGCCGAAGACGCCGACTTTGACAATGCAAAAAGCACACAAGCTCACTTCAATCACACAGTTCTGCCACTAGCAAAAATATAGAGACAGCTAACATTTTTTTATTTGTCTGTTTTAGCTTGCCTAATTACCTTGCCATTTGAAGATATTAATTCCGGCTTTTGTAGAACAGGGTCCAGAGTCTCCAGCCTCACAACTGCTACAGAAACATGACAGAAACTAAAAATGACTTCTTTGTCAAAAAGTGACAAAACTCAAAACACAAACATAATTTGACACAAGAAATTTAAGTTTGCTTAATAAAGCTAGTAGTCACCAACAAAAGGAGACATCACAACTCCATTGATGAGCCTCCACCCTTACTTCCCATAAATCTGTAAACATTTTAAAGGTTGTAATACATAAACATTTTTTTACCTGGACGTAGTGACAGAGTTAGGACAGGAACCTTTTTCTCATTGCTTTGGTCCGTTTCATTGTTTGCCTCTTCGTTCTGCTCCTGCTCTTTGACCTGCAATGACAGACCCATCATCAAACCATCAGAATGTCATTTTGTTCAGTGCAGCTTTAATAAAAATGTTGACATTACCTCGTTGTTCTGATCGTCGGTCAGCTCTTGCTCTCGTCTTTTGACTGGAGCTGTATAAGAAGATGATGGAATGACAACTAGTGAAGGTGATGAAGCAGATGGATTCACACTGTGGTCAGGGCTCCTCTGTGGTCCTGCCTCACTTACTAGGGCTATGGGGGAGTAATCATTTGGAGCTTGGTTGGATGTAGACTTTCCTCGATCTGAAAGGTCCAAAGGCCTGTCGCAAGAGTCTCTAAACCATTCTCCAGAGACTTTCTCACACTTGGGAGGTGGGCTTTCCTTTTTCTCTGGGGTCTTAGAGTCACTCTCTGGGTAATCTGGCACCCTCCTTAGCTTGAACACCACCATTGGCTCTTTTGCAGGGGGCTGATGGGAGTTTGGCTTTTGCCATGGAGAGACAAAACCGTGCCTTCTGGTGCTGGTCTGCAAGATGGGTGGGATCAGGTTGGGGTACCGTGGCAGATGCATTCTGGGAGAAGTTTGCATTGTGGGGCTGGATCCACCAGCAGCCACAGAGACCCAGTCTGAGGATTCGGACAGGGGCCAGGGGAGGGAGATAGAGCTGCTCTTGATTGGCTGAGGATGGCAGGGGATTGGTGCATGGACTACATGTCTGCTCTGTTTCACCTCTGGAGAGGACGAGCGGTTCTTCCGAGGAGGTTGGGCAGGAATGGAGGAGTGCTGCTCAAATACTTCAACACTTTGAAGACACGAGAGGCAGAAAGTTCAGACAGATCAGTAAAAATCAAATGATGCGTATTTTATGACAAACATAATGCAGTGAAACATCCATCCATTTTCTTCTGCTTATCCGAGGTCAGTTGTCGGGGGTAGAAGCCTAAGTAGGGAGGCCCAGACTTCCCTCTCCCCAGCAACTTGGGCCAGCTCCTCTGGGGGGATTCTCAAGGCATTTCCAGGCCAGCCAAAAAGTCCCTCCAGCATGTCCTGGGTCTTCATCTGGGTCTCCTTCCAGTGGGATGTGTCTGGAACAACTCACCAGGGAGGCGTCCAGGAGGCACCATATGCCCGAGCCACCTCAATTGACTCCTCTTGATGTGGAGAAGCAGCAGTGAAACAATGTTTTGGAAAAGATAAATCAAGGGATACTTTAATTTTTGGTGGTGTGTGATAAAGAGTGAACAAATGCTCAAACCCATTTTTTGACGAGAGTTAAGGTACAAGTTAGAAATGATTTTGTGTCCCAAAAAAGCTCAAAAACCAATTTCATCAACTTGGAGTGAGGCGTTGATGAGTGAGGGAAGAATGGAGTGTGAGGTTGACAGATGGATTGGTGCAGCTTCCACAGTGTTGTGTATGTGCCCATCCATTTTGGTTAAGAGGGAGCTGAACTTCAAGGAGAGGCTCAGCAAAAGAATAAGATAAAAGTGGTCAAAATGAGTTTTCTCTACAAGGTAGCTGGACTGTAGAGATATGGTGAGAAGTTCAGTTATTCAGGAGAGACTCAAAGCCAGTTGAGGTGGTTCAATCATCTGATGAGGATACCCCCTGAATGCCTCCATAGGGAGGTTTTCCAGACATGTCCAACAGGGAGGAGACCCTGGGGAAGACCCAAGGTACGGTGGAGACACTATGTCTCTTGACTGGTCTGAAAACACCTTGTAGTCCTCCCAGAAGAGCTGGACAGAGATTTCTGAACCTCCTTGTTCAAGTTGCTGTCCCAGAGACCTGACTCTGGAACAAGAGGATGGATAAACGAACGAACGGATGATGGATAGATGATGATGGATGGATGGATGGATGGACAGATGCATGCTTTTATGATTTGTTTTAGTCTTACATCCTGTCTCCAGGACGGGGGACACTGTGCTCCATTCTCCAGGATGGCACAGCTGGTGTTGGCTGAGGCTTGTATACTTCCTGTTTAAAAAAGATGAAGAACATAAAGAAAAAAAACGTACTTGAGGATCACAATAAAATTTATCCATTAAAGGAACAAAGAAAACATTGTTTTTTTTCTCACTAAAATGTGACTCTTATCTTTAAAATAATGTAAAGCTAGTTTGGCAAATACAAAAATGACTTTAACATAGTAATTTTATCAGACATAGGGACAGACTTTAGAGTGGTAGTAGCTGAGACTCATCCAACAAAAACTCTGTGTAAAACGTTTGCTCACAAGATGGTGGGGATATGCACTTCTTCAAGAAATCCTATTTTTAATATCAACAAAGTCCATGCTCAATAATCCAGATATACAAGCCAACAATTTTCAGTCAGGTCAACTGGACAGTTTCTTTTTTTGTGCTGAAACATTTCACCTTCCATCCAGAAGGCTTCATCAGTCAAGGAAACACACAACACAAAACTGATTCTTCCCACAACAGCTTACTCCAAAGTGGAACAAACCAGTTACATTGGTGCTAAGATGGTGTCTTCGGCACACCCCCTCCTCCGGTGCTGGCCCTCTTCGTCGTCGACAGTCATGTCAAACTGGTTCAAAACCAACAAAGTCCATGCTCAATAATCCAGGTATACAATCCAACAATTTTCAGTCTGGTCATCTGGACAGTTTCTTTTTTTGTGCTGAAACGTTTCACCTTCCATCCAGAAGGCTTCATCAGTCACGGAAACAATTTTTAATATATTTTTGATGTTGCTTTAATCTAGTTGTGGTCAAAAAACATTTTTCTATCTGAAAACAACAACAACAAAAAAAGCCTACAAAAAAAGCAAAATTTTCTTTTTTGTAAATAAGGAATATTTTGCCATGTCTTTTTTTCAGATGGTTTTAAATTTACATGAATTCAAATGGAAAATCTAAAAGCTTAAGCTTTTCTCTGGGCCTTGATGTAAGAAGACGCAGCAGAAATAATATGATTGATTATTTACATAGAAAAAAAACACATTTAATTTAAGAAACATTGGAGTTGATTAAAAACTTACGAAGCTGCTGCGGTTCATGCCTCTCGAGCGTCTGCTGCGTTCAGCTTCTGTTCAAACAAACAAACAAAAACATACAGTTTGTGTTCATTTGATACCAAACATCATCCAGCTCTTCTTCAGGCCCACGTTCACCTCTGCGGTCCACCTCAGTCTTCATCACCATGTCGCCATCTGCTGGCTGTGAGTCGATCCTGCCGGGTGTCGGGCTGAGGAGGGCCACGACCCCGGGGGAGGGGGACAGGTCGGGGGAGGCGTTCGGTTTGACGTCCACAAAGCTGCCGTTATTGGAGGAGGCTTCACTGTGGCCTTTGCTGCGCACGCACACACACACACACACAGGTTTGTTTTGCTATCTTTATGGGGCCTTTGCATTGACTTCCATTCATTTTTCATTCATTTCTATAGCCTAACCATGACCTTTATCCTTAACCTAACCATTACCAGTACATACCTAACCCTAAACCTAACACATCCTCAATTCACACCTTAGTACTAAACCTAGCCCCTAACCCACCAACGGGACTTCTTCTTATGGGGCCTGGGCTTTGGGCCCCATAAGGAGCAGTTGGTCCTCACAATGCAGTATAAGTTTGAAAAATGGGCCTCACAAAGTAGCATAAACAAGGACACACACACACACGTTTGTCTTTTTATGGGGACTTTGTGTTGACTTCCATTCATATTTTATTAATTTCTATAGCCTAACCCTGACCTTTATCCCAAACCTAACCCCTAACCCACCAACGGCACTTGAACCTTATGCGACCGAGCTTTGGTCCCCACAAAGAACAGTTGTGGTATGTGTTGAAAAATGGGCCTCATAAGGTGACATAAACAAGGACACACACACACACACACACACACACACACAGTAAATGTTTTTTCTTTAGTCCTAAACTGTAAAAATATTTATACATGTTAAAATTCATTATATATTTTTGTTTTATAAAGTCACACCCAATGGCTGGAAAGAAAAAAAAACTTACAAATTTTGAAGTGCCCATGAGCCACCCATTGATAATCACTGTTGCAGTGGGTGTTGTGGCTCTAGACACATTTTGTTGAGTAAGTGAAAAATGGCTGTTTCGATCTAAAAGGTTGCAGACACCTGATCTAGTTTAAAGCATAGCCTGAACTGGATTTGATTTGTAATCATTTGATTTTTATTGTTTTAATTGAAGGGCAGCACGGTGGCGCAACTGGTAGAGCTGCTGCCTCTCAGCGAGCAGGTCCCTGGTTCAAACCCCGGTCCAGGGGCCTTTCTGGGTGGAGTTTGCATGTTCTCTCCGTGCATGCGTGGGTTTTCTCCGGGTGCTCCGGTTTCCTCCCACAGACCAAAAACATGCATGTTAGGCTGATTGGTAACTCTAAATTGTCCCTAGGTGAGAGTGGGAGAGTGAATGGTTGTTTGTCTCGTTTGTCTCCATGTGTCCTTGTGATGGACTGGAGACCCGTCCAGGGTGTACCCCGCCCCTCGCACAGTGATTGCTGGACATGGGCACCAGCGACCCCCGTGACCCAAAATGGAATAAGCGGGTAAAGAAAATGGATGGATGGATGTTTTAATTGAAAAATAAATTAGATTATAAACTGATTTAACTGCAGTGGTTTTATTTGGACTTTTATTGTGAAAAACACAACTAAAAACATCATAAACAGATTGTTTTTAACTGGAGGTAATTGGACTCATCCTTTTCAGTTGGATATGTTAACTTTTATTTTATCTGTTTTCTGTCTTGTATTGATTTTCTTGAACTAAACTGATTTTATAAGGATTATGCTGGACTTTAAAAAGTATCCTTTGCTGTAAATAAATTATATATTAAAGCTATTTTTGCTGTTTTTACAGCAATAATTTTTACAAAACAAAATAATTATTAAAAGGAATTTGAATTCAGTTGGATTAAATTGGAATGTATTTTTACGTGGATTTTTACATGATGAGCTTGGAATATAATTTTTTTTTCAGGTCAAATTACGTTTTTAAAATTAAACAAAAGTAAATTGTTGCTGTTTTTATCATCTATATTGATAAGGACTGCACTGGATATAAAACTACTGACGCGGAAATAAAATAAAATCTTGAATTAATTATTTTTTGTTTAAACATATTTTAAAGAATTACTGCTTTATCTTCTACTGCTTATCTGAGGTGGGTTCATGGAGGCAACAGGTCGAACAGAGAAAAACAGACGTCCCTCTCCAGCTCCTGAGGTGCTGAGGTGTTCCCAGACCAGGGAGGATTTATAATCCCTCCAGAGAGTCCTGGGTCTGTCCCAGGGTCTCTTCCTAGATGGACATCCCTGGAACACCTCACTAAGAAACAGTTCTCAGGGCTGTGTCCTCAGTCCACTCCCGTACTCACTATTTACACGGCTGTACCTCCAAGCACAGCCTCAAGTATGTTGATGACACCACCGTCCTGGGCCTCATCACCAACAATGATGAGAGTGCCTACAGAGATGAAGTGAAGTCAATGACCAGCTGGTGTCAAGAAAATAACCTCTCTCTAAATGGCAGCAAAACAAAAGACGTGATAGTGGACTTCAGGAAACGGCGTGGAGGCCAGCACCCCACCATCTACATAAACAACGCTCATGTGGGGCAGGTCAGCAGCTTCAAGTTCCTCGGCATTCACATCACTGAGGATCTGTCCTGGACTTTACATACAGACACTGTGGTCAAGGAAGCTTGACAAAGACTCTACTTCCTAAGAAGAATAAAGAAGTTTGGTATGAACACCAGCATCCTCACCAACTTCTATAGGTGCACCATCGAGAGCCTGCCGACAGGCTGCATCACAGGGTGGTATGGGAACTGCACCAGTCAGAGCCAGAAAGCTCTACAGAGGGTGGTGCAAACAACAGAGGACATCACTGGTAGCAGTCCAGGACATCTACGACAGCCGATGTCTGCGTCAAGCAGCATCATTAAGGACCACACCCACCCAGCACAAGGACTCTTCTATCTACTACCCTCAGGCAGACGATGCAGGAGTCTGCCATCGCGTATAAAAAGACTAAAGGACAGTTATTATCCACAAGCTGTCAGACTCAACAAATAACACTGAACAACTGATAATAGTTTTGCACCAAGCCACATCTGTGACAACTTATATGTTTATTATTTAGGGGTTTTTAGGGGGATGGGTGACGCAGAGGTTAGAGAGGTGGGCCTGTGATCCAAAGACCGCCGGTTCACGCCCCAGCCCTGACAACATCAAAATTGTGGGTGGGGTAGGTGAAGCACCCACACTTGCCCCCATCCTCATTTGCCCCACTCTGGGCCCATGATCAAGGCCCTTAACCCCCCATCTGCTCCCTAAACAGGTCTCTCTTGAAAATGAGTTCTCGTGGCTCAAGGAGACTACCTGGATAAATAAAGGGTAAATGAAAAATGAAAAAAATAAAAATAATTTATTGCTGCTGCACTATGGGGCTGTATCATGTATGCTGCTACAGTATCTATGTATCTACTTTACCATCATAATTCATGTTACTCACTATAGTGCGTAACATGAATTATGATGGTAAGGTTATTGCACAGGTATACCTGTGCAATAACCTGTTACACAACCTGTGTAGTATATGTTAGTTATGTGCGATATTCATTCAACCTTTATTTAGACAAGTAAATCCCATTGAGTCCCAAGGACTCATTTACAAGAGAGACCTGATTTCAACAAAGAAAGATGACAACAATGGACAACAGCGACAACACTAGACAGTTATCAAAAGGCATACAGATTTTTTTTTACAACTAAGATTGCAAAAACAGTAACAAAAACAGCTAGATTCTAAGGCGAATGTAGAAAACTAAAAACAGGAACATGTCTGCATTGGTCCCTGCCAGGAGTCCAACAGATTCTTAAAGCCACTTAGAGAGGTCAAAGGTCGAGAGTTTCTGATCTTTTTGTAAGATATTCCAGGAAACAAGAGCGGAGTAGGAGAAGGCCCTTTTGTCTAGTTCAGTCCTCACTGAGGGAACACTGCAGGTAATAATGTCCTGAGAGCGCACGCTGTAGCTGCACTCACGCAGAGACATGTAGGAGGAGATGTATGAAGGCAGCAGACCAAGAAGTGATTTAAAGATGAAAATGTACCAGTGAGAGAGTCTGCGTGAAGTTAATGGTTACCAGTTAACTAGTGAATACTGGGTGCAGTGGTGGGTACGGTAGTTACAGCCAGTTATGGATCTTAGCGCACCATGATAGACAACATCCAACATCTGCAGGGTTCTTGTAGGAGCGTTCATGTAAATAATGTCACCGTAATCAATGGAGGGAAGGAAAATCACAGATACAAGGTGTTTCCTAACATTCAGAGTTGGACAGGATCTGTTTCTGAATCTCAATAATAATGAATATCACGTGCATTTTAGCTAAATATTACAACCTTGAAATACTCATTCAAATTCATCCTGCTTGCACTGTTATATTCTACCATGTTGTTCACAGTTTTTCTTTAGGACCTTGTAAATATTGTAATTTTTCACTTTTTGGTACTTTATTTTGTACTCTTATTGCGTGCTTTAGTATTTTCTTGTTTATTTGTTCTTTGTTTTAGCGAGTCATATCGGTTCTTCTCATCCTGAACATTTCATTGTACCATTAACCTTGTGTTAACTTGAATATGACTAATAAACATAACTTGAACTTCAGGGTCATTCTTACCCGAGGTGAGGGTAGGAACACAGACCGGTAAACAGAGCTTCTCTCAGAGCTCTTCACCACAATGGACTGGCTTAGAGTCCACGATAGTGCAGAAGCTGCACGATTCATTGGTCGATCTCACTCATGAACAAAACCCAGACGTACTTGAAAACCTTGAAGCAGCACCTCACTCTTAACCTGGAGAGGAGAGTCTACCCTTTTCTGACTGAGGACCACGGTCTCAGATTTGGAGGTGTTGCTCCTCATCAAACTGCAAACTGATCCAGTGAGGGTTGGAGATCACAGCGTGATGACGCCATCAGGACCACATCATCCACAAACAGAATTAGCAGAAACCTGAGTTCAAAGAACCGGTCCCCTTTTCCCTCCTGGCTGCACCAAAGACTTGTGTCCATAAAAGCTATGAAGAGAACCAATCACAACAGGCCTGGCTCTGGTTCTCATTGCCAACACTTCAGGGAAGGACTCTGATAAGTTGTTGTTTATTACCAAAATATTTTACCTGAATTTGATTAATTGGGTTTGATTTTGCTTCTAATTAACCGGACTATAACTAGATTGATGTAAACTGCTGTTAATTGGACTATACTGTAGTTTTAATTAGACTTTTTCTGACTAAATTGGTTATAATAAATGTATTTGTGCGGGAATCTGTGTTTTTAATCCTACCTGTTCTTTAATCCTTGTGTTTTTTGCATTCCCCAGTGTTTCCCCTCCTTGTTGTGCGCTCCTGTCTCACCAGTCACAAATTCTAATCACCCCAGGTGTTTGTCATTATGTCTCGTTAGTGTTCCCTATATATTCAGCGTCTCTTTCTTCCCTTGTCTGTTGATTGTGCGTTGTGTTCTGTGCCTCTCAGCGTTTCCTCCCTTCATGTAAGGTTTTACTGCCCTGACAGGTTTTGCTTTTGTTTGTCTTGTTAATAAATTAGTTCCTTGTTTTACCTCGGAGTCTCCTGTGTCTGCCTGCACGTGGGTTCTACAATAATACTCGGATTATGATAATTTGGGGTGAATTGTTCCTCCAGTTGTTCTGGTTTGAGTTGATTTATTTGCCCTCAATCTTCTGTTTGTTTTATTTAGCATTTTATTCATCACAAGTATGTACACTGTAAGAAAGGTTTTTAAACTTAAATGTGATCCCAGTCTAACCTTCCTGCTACTCTCATGTCAAAATGACCCACAAAGCCTCAGTTTTGGGAAGCAGGATTATTAAAGAAGATTAAGTAGTCGACCACTTACACAAATCAGAGAGAAATAAACCTTCAAGGTCTTTTACTCACTCCAGTGCCGCTCGTAGTTTTCTGAGTTCATCTTTGAGTCTCAGGTTTTCTTTTTTCAGGTTTGTCATCTCTCCAGCTTTGACGCACAACAGAAGTTACAACCACAAATCAATTTATTTTTCCTACAAATCAGATTAGGAACGGACGGCCGTGGGATGAATACCTAGTAGAGAGATGTGCTGGAGGCTCTGGATCTGCGAGGCTTCGAATTCTTGTTGTTTCCTCTTCGCCACCTCCTGTGTTACCGTACACCGGTCACACAGTCCGGCCCTCAGCCTGAACAACAACAACAATCAACAAAAAACAACAACACTAACAGATAAGGACAAAAACTGCCTTCTGGCAGTGAGAATATTCACATAAACGGGCCTCTGCGTCTTCGCAAAGCTGATTTTGGTACAAATGTTTTTAAATTTAATTAACTTATTTTAGTATTTTTCGTCATCCATTCATTTTAAGTGATTTACAATGTAAGACCGGTCAGAATGTGGTATTTTTACCTGTTTTCCAGAGTTTTGATGTTCTCGGTGAGTAGTCTCTGCTGCTCTTTCATCTGCTGGTTCCTGCTGAACAACTCCTCCATTCGCTTCGAATCACTGAGGAAACAATTCAGCACAGATCAGCTTCAGCTCCACAAAAGGGATGCTGTGGTGGTGGGCCTCCTTGTGGACAAGGATGAGACGTGATCCAGGCAGGAGGTGCAACATCTGGTGCTCTTGAACCTCAAAACCGAGGAGGTCATTATTGATTTTAGAAAAACCAGGAGAATCACAGTCGCCTGATGGTGATCATCAAACATCATCAAAGTATGGACGTTAAAAACCTCCAACCTGGTTAAATGAGCCAGGAAGCGAAACAATCACCCGGTGAGTCCATGTTTGGCCCATTGCCACAGGGAAGAGGTATCAACCCATCAGGACAGACTAACAGGCTGAGGAATACAGTTTTTGCCTGGCCCTGTCTCCAAATACACACCAAGGAATGTTCAAAATGTTTTTAAATAGTCTTTAAATGCTCATGGTTGTCATTTTCTGAGAAACCGAAACAACAACGAAGCAGTTTAATATATTTTCCGTGTCCGTCTGATAATGATACAACTCTGATCAAACTCTGAAACGTTTAATAACTGAGAGGAAATTGAAAACCAAATAATGAGTTTTGAGGCAACTTTTATTCAAGTAAACCAAAAATTGGTATGTTTTATTAATATGGCAAATTAATATGGACAGTATCCTGATGCTTGCTCAATAATCCAGGTAGAAAAATCCGAAAAAATTAAATCTGGTCCTCTGGACATTCAAAAAAAACAAAACAAAACAACAAAAATATGGACAATATCACCACCTAGTGGTATATCAGGGATATTACTGTGTTTTTATTAGTTTTAAGGAGCAAATCTCAAAGAAAGAAAAAAAAAGTTCATAAAAATATCCAGAGCAGAGTAAAAAGGACCTAAAGGTTGTTGAGACTTTGCAACTACTTTTCAAACAGCACTTTCAAGGCAGTCTCCAAAATATCTCTGAATGTTTGCATTGTACTCAATTCCCTCACTTGAATCAAAGAGGCTCAAGGTCTTTTTGCTTAAATTTTGAGCACGGTCAAAAAAAATTGTGCCGCAAAATTTCCTCAAAACAGTTGTTGCTGTAGTGGGTGTCTCAAACCGTTCTTAATTTAGTTTCCATAAGTCTTTACAACCAGAACTGTATTCTGACACCCACTTCGTAGTCTTCGACCAAGGCTACAGCCCCTAATCCCCAGATTGGGTAAATCCAATTCACTTTATGGACTCGGGCTAATCTGAGTCAGTCACTTAAGGGATATGGTACACTTGAGCCATATGAGTAGGTCAAGATGCTGTGAAAAAGATGAACAAGCATCCTGACGCATGCTCAATAATCCAGGCAGAAAAATCACATTTGTCTAAACAAACAAACTTTAGCGATGGATGTTAAGGAGCTACATATGCATTATTCAGATATGTTTATTTTACAATTCCACACACCCATAAATGAACCAGCAGTTTACAAATCCATCCATCCATTCTCTTTTACCCGCTTCTTCCATTTTGGGTCACGGGGTCGCCGGTGCCCATGTCCAGCAATCACTGTGCGAGGGGCGGGGTACACCCTGGACAGGTCTCCAGTCCATCACAGGGACACATAGAGACAAACGAGACAAACAACCATTCACTCTCTCACTCACACCTAGAGACGAGTTACCAATCAGTCTAACATGTATGTTTTTTGTCTGTGGGAGGAAACCGGAGTACCCGGAGAAAACCCATGCATGCACGGAGAGAACATGCAAACTCCACCCAGAAAGATCCACAGCCAGGACTTGAACTGGGGCGACCTGCTCGCTGAGAGGCAGCAGCTCTATCAACTGCACCACCGTGCTGCCCATGAAGAAATCATGAGGAGAGAAAATTAAACAGAAAGATTTTCAACTGTCAGACGTTCGAAAAAATTTGGATGTTTCGCGAATGTCACGTCTTTAGTCCTGATTCAGTACCAAGATTTGGATCCTTGACCTGGGAGAGACAGTAACCAACTTGCTCCCCTAATGCCCAGGTCTAACCATATCAATGATAAATAATATTATTTTAATCCAAATCACCATTTAATTTCTAAACGCACTTTGGTAGATTGAGTCATAAACATGATGTTTGCTGCAGAGGTGGGTACAAAGTGGGTCAAGGTCAGTACAATATGTGAAGGTGGACAACGAAACAATGTGCTCGGTCTAAAATCATGGAAAAGAGTTTTCCAAATCCTGTGGGTAAACAATCCGTTGTGATTTTCACGACACAGCTCACAGTTAGCAAACACTCCGAATTTCATGAAACTGCAACTAAAAGTTTATTTTCCAGTGATTTTTATGGCCAACAGTGAGACACTGGTTTAGGTTTTATTAAAATCTGCTGGTTTCTAAAGAACACACCTTCCCAGTGGAGAAGGTCTAAGTGCTAATTAGGTTGTGTCAAGTTTATCTTTGATTTGTTCATTTGTCTGAAAACTAGTTTTTCTTTACTTGAGTGTGTTAAACTGTTCAGAAAGCTACGTTTTCCCATCTCCTCTGCTTTTACTGAGTTCCACGAAGAACCGAATCTGATTTAGTGGCTCCAAACAGGCGTGTCACGACATGAACTTTTTTCCATGCTGTTTATGACGTGAACGAGCTCAGAGCCAGGTGCAGGGCTGGGGTGCCCACCTGTTTACCTGCCTGATCCACAAGGACCTGGTCTTCGCCGGCTAAAACTCAACATGCAATCTAAGTGTTTTTTGTTGTTGTCTAAATAGGGCGATGCATTCACATTAATAAAAGCAATTCACTCACCAGCCTTTCTTGTTGGACAGTTCTTTGACTTTCACCTGCCACCCTGGAGGCAAAACACATTTTATTAGGGCGATTCTGTGGAAGCAAAAACATTTTGGGGTATTTTTCACCCTTTGCACCGACCTTCCACTTCTCGTTCGTGGGTCTCCTGCAGCTTCTGCATCAGGTCTTTGAAGCTCTCCATTCTGAAAGAGGTCACAACAGCGTCTGCACAACACAAAAGACAAAACGTTTTCCTTTACTTTTTAATGGAAGAATGGACTTAAACAGGATTTTCCTTGGTAGATTAGTAAACCACAGCCCTGATATGAAGTTATTAAGAAATGATAAAACCTGTGAAAACACACACAGATTGAACGTTATAGCCCGAGGACTGTGGAGCAGATCTGAGAACCCAAAACACACCACACTCTGCTTTTCTCATGTAGAAGCAACTTTTTTTTATGTAATATCAAGGAAGACTAGTTAGACCGGATCTGCCAGGTCCGGGAGTGAAGTCTGCAGTTTGTGTTTCTATGACATGAAAAACAGCTTTGTTTGTTTGTGTGCGAGTGATATTTCCACACAGAGGAAGTAATTAATTACTCCCAATATTTTCTAACTTACCTTAAACCTTATTAACAAAATATAATGGTACCAGATGGTGAGGAAGAGGAAAACCTGATATCACCTGATGAGGGGGTCCAAGCCAACAGAGCGTGGAACCCTATTGACACAGTTGTTTTTTATTTTGTGAATGCTTATTAACACTTATTCACACTAGTGTGATCCTGTTTATATTTATTATTATTCCATATTCTAGTTACCTTAAACTATTTCATGAGTTATTCGGCATTGTTCTCGTTTCACATTTTTTGTGCTATTTCAACAAATCATATTTATATTTAGCCTTTTCTGCCATTTTTTCTCATAGACAATGAATTGAGCTCATTTTACGTCCTTCAAATCTTTAGATGTGTTTACAACCTTTTACTGCTCCTTTCACATTTTGTTCTGCTTCAGCTTCTTTCAACTTTCTTTTTTAGCTACTTTCAGCTCATTTCAGCTGTTTTTTCAGCTGATTTATGCTACTTTCAGGTTCTTTCCTTTTCTGTGCTTCTAACTTATTTCTGCTAATTTCAGCTCGCTATGCTGCACTCAGCTTATTTCTTCAAGTTTCAGTTTTCGCTAATTCAGTTACTATTTAGCCATTTTATGCTAATTTTAACTCTTTCAGCTCATTCCACTTTTTTTGCACTCATTTCAACTTTTTTCATCCTAATTCAGCAAAAATATGCCCTCTCCACTTCCCTCTGGTAATTTAAGCTTCTTTCTGCTTTTTACTTTTCAGAAGTTTTTTGTTGTTGTTGCTAATTTTAGCTTTTTGTACTAATTTCTGCTTCTTTCAGCCTAATTGGGCAAACAAGTGTTCTTTCCTCTTTCTTGTGCAAATTTATGCTTGTTCTACCATTTCAGCTAGCTTTTTAAAAGCATTTTAGTTATTTTCAGCAGTTTTCAGAAAAATTCAAGTTTTTCGTGGTAATTTCTGCTATTTTCAGCCTAAATAACTCCTTTCTGCTAATTAGGCCCGAGCAGCTAAGCGCTGCGGCGCTGCGAAGGCCTATTGTTATTGTGTCGTTTCTAATTTT